TGATGTTAATGCCCTGTAAGTGGACGTTCATGGGGAGCTGGGTGGTGTAGCTGCGGTAGAAGGCACCAAACCCTTCCGTCTTCTGCACTGTCCTTATGCACGCCAGGACGGACTTGTAGGGGGAGTTGAACATCTGCATCCGCTGCTTCACCACTGGTCCAGGCGATGGCCACAGGGTGGGCAGCACCAGGCAGGACAGACACAGGGACATGAGGACTTATTAGCTAAGGCACATCTTTTCTGGTCATCCCAACACCCAGACTGAACCCTGCTCGAAGCCCCAACCACCTAGAGCCAACCTCCCCTTCCAAGTCCAAACCGCTATGACATAAAGCAGGTATTCCTGTAGCAATGACCTCCTTGTCAACGGGCTTTTATCAAGAAGCTGCATAGAGCCTCTGCTTCCCCCAGCCTGCCCAGTGCCCCCCAAAAACTCAGCACAAGCGAGGGAAGCAAGTGGGACCTCAGCCCCAGGTCAACAGCTCTCCACTAACGCACTCCCCTCCTCCAGGTTAATGAAGGAACCTTTAATTCTAGCTAGAAAGGCATTAAGACGGACTGGGAAGGACCCCCAGGTGCACCCATAAGTGCTGAAACACTGACATGCCAAGAGGACAGGGGCAAAAAGGTGACTGAATCACCTGGGAAATATTACAGAGCCCAGTCCTGAAATGGAACAGCCTCCACTGACTTAAGCAAAAGGCCAATTCATTTAATCAGGATATGATTAAAAGGATTTGAAACACTAGAGACATTTCTTCCTCCAGAAAAACCTGACCTTGGGCCACCTCAGAAGCCCAGTACATTACCACTGACCAGCTGGCAGCCCAGCTGATTGTGTTCATTTTAGCTGCATTTTACCATTAGCCCTCTTCATGCCACACTCCACCTACCCAGGAAGCACTAGCAGAGTAGGAACAGCATCGTGTTAGTAAAGGGGACACCAGGTTTCCTCGGAAGTCACAACATGCCATGCAGATGCTGTGCACCCCCTTGGCAAGCAAGGGAGAACAGAAAGGCAGAATCTATCCCTATACACTGACCTGCCTGAGCGCGTTAAAAGTTGGGCAGAGTCACTAAGGCAAAGGGCTTAAAGGTGCTGAGATGGCACAGGGTGTCTTCCCAGGCTACTGGGGTGCAGCACTTCCCCAGCAGCACAGGGCATTACCTTCAGCCGGAAAAATCATCACTGCATCGTGGAGCAGCGTGGCCACGCTCCCAGCTATACCTGCAAGACACAAGAGCATCCTTCAGGAAGGATATTCAGAAGCCAGGGCTTGCCTGGGTACTACCATCTGCAGAGGCAGCAGCCAACATCATCACAGGGTGGTTTGGGTTGGAAGAGACCTTAAAGCTCCTCCAGCTCCAACCCCTGCCCCAGGCAGGGACACCTTCCACTAGAGCAGGTTGCTCCAAGCCCCTGTGCCCAACCTGGCCTTGAACACTGCCAGGGATGGGGCAGCCCAAGGAAGCGCCCAGCAACACAACTCACTCCCAGTGCAGAAAAGCCCCATCCAAAGCAGCCTGACAGGAACCAGGATCCACGCCAGGATCCCAACCGTCACCTTTGCTACTCCCTACAACAACTCACAAGGTTTTGTCTGTGCAGGAAAGCACCAGGTTCACTCAGCCTGTGCTGGACTCAGACATGAGCAATGTTTAGCACTGGCTCAGTGCATCCATAATTAGGCATTTTCATCCGTTTACTCAGTCTAGTTTTAAACACTAATTGCCCAGATTCTGCCAGCATCCAGCCAGCCATTAATGATTGTGCAGTTGGCTCAAGGATGGGCCTCTCAAGCCACACCTTCTCCTTTGATGTAGGTTTCCATCTCAAATTCTCTCTTGCCCAAATGACTTTCGGTCATTTCTCATTAAGGCAGAGCTTCACTTTTCCCACTGGAACCAAAAGCCTGTAGCTACTTGAAAGGCAAACACAGGAAGCAAATTGCTAGCAAAAAGCAGCAAGCCAGAAAGCTATTATATACCCTTAACTGAGGTGGTTGAGTCAAGTCAAGTGACTGCCACGGCAGCTTCCCACCATCACATCATGTCAAGGACCAACCAGGCAGAAATGTCTCTGCACGGAGCCTTGTGTAACACCCCTGGCTGCTCAATCAGAGGGTTTCTGCCATTACAACAAGAGGTTTAGGTGATGCCTTCAACATCAAGACAGAAGCAGCCTGTGATTGCATCCAAACTCTTGTCCAATGTATTGATTTCTTGTGCTAGAACACTTGGAGAAAGAAGAGTAGTGCAGAAATCTGGGCTAGACTAAGACTTGGGAGGGTGCCAGTAGTGCCATCAGGGGTTCTCCTCTCACTGCTGACAGCCAGCCCAGCCACCTCTACCCTCTAGAAGATAGATCTACCAAGCAGTCAGCAGTCCTGGGACAGGGCCCAGCTTTCTGAGGAGCGTGGTGACCTGTGTGAAGCACTCGGATGCTGGGCAGGAGCCACACTTGCCTGTCTGACTGGCCCCTGCAGCACTTCCAAAGCAGAGACCTGAAAGCCTGGAATGACATTTCAATCCCACATGCTCCACAGAGGTATTCACAGCAGCATTCTGAACGTTGGCTGCCTACAGCAGCTCTTCCTGAGCAAAGCACAGTGAGGGCTGCCACGCTAAGCATGTCAAGGAAGCAAGGGACAGGCTGGTAACTGCAAGCTCGTTTTTATACATAACCCCCCAAAAAATACCATTGGCCAAGTGGCTGTTTCCTCCATGCTGGAAAGTGTCACTTAGAGACTTTTTCATCTTTTCATAGCAGGCAAAGTACATGGCATGGGCAGGGCCAGCGCCCAGCATGGTGACATTAATCCCACGTAAAGGCCTCCAGAAACCCTCTGTCATGACAATCTTCTTCAGCGCTTCGTACACGCTCCTGTACTGGGCTTTGGGGTCCGGCTGCAAGCTCTGCATCCTGGTCTGCAACAAAGCACACGAAGGGAGAGGCCTCAGTTAGCCCATCTTTAATGCAACAAGCACCAGTTGGAGAGTGGACAAGCTACAAGACTCCCAAGACCACGAGTGGGGTCCATCATTTAGCCCCCAGCTGCACCCACGGCGCTATTCAGAGCGGCAAGATTAAGTTCATGCTCCCATTGCAACACCGAAACGTGACGAGGCTGCTCAGACAAGTGCTCAGGAGGGAAGTGTAACCTCTGCTCTTGTTTCTGCAGGGAAAACACAGGGAATTAAGCTAGTGCAGTCGTTCAAAAGCCTGGGTGAAGAAATACAGTTAGGTCTGTAATTGCCTCTTGCTTACAACACTCCCAGCTCCCTGCCCCAGCTTGTTCCTCCTGCTGTTGCTCAGCTGCTTGTGACACTTGTGTGCAGTTTGTCTGCTCCATTGGGAAACAGGTTTCCTAGAAGGGCAGGCTGAGAAAACGGGGTACCCAGAGTAACCCCCCCATAGGAGAGACAGGTAAAGGGTAACAGGGCTGGAGCAGGGCCTAGAGCACAAGTGTGATGAGGAAGGGCTGAGGGACCTGGGGGGTTTAGTGTGGAGAAGAGAAGGCTCAGGGGGGACCTGATCGCTCTCTGCAACTGCCTGACAGGAGGATGGAGCCAGGAGGGGGCTGGTCTCTGCTCCCAAGGAACAAGGGGTGGGACAAGAGGAACCGGCCACAAGCTGCCCCAGGGCAGGTTTAGCTGGAGCTGAGGAACAATTCCTTGCCCAGAGGGTGCTCAGGCATTGGAACAGGCTGCCCAGGGCAGGGCTGGAGGCACCGTCCCTGCAAGTGTTCACACCCCAGGTAGACGAGGCCTCAGTGCCAGGGGTTAGTGGTGGCCTTGGCAGCTGGACTTGATGATCTAAAGGTCTGTTCCACCCTGGCTGATTCTGTGATTCTAAAGGCCACTGCATTCTCCTGCACAGCAACCCAAGAAGACCCCAGGGGTGACTATCCTTGCCCTGCTGCCACCCACTGCCTGAGCCAGGAGGTTTCACCTGCACCTTTCTTCAACAGCCCTCAATGGGCTTTTCTTCCACATATTTTGGGAGCTAACTAAGCCGCTGGCACCCAAATCCTCCCATTGCACTCACTGCTGTCAATTATGCACTGTGGGAAAAATGACTCCTTTTAGTTCGTCCGAGGCTTCTGCAGCCTGATGCCATCACACACCAGCAACACCCAAAGCCAGTGATGATGTTTGCAGGGCACAGACACCCTGACAAGGTGTGGGGACACATCCCTTCAGGCTTATCATTCCACATCAGGAATTAGCCAGGAGGTAATACTACAGCTAAGCTTTCAGGCAAGATTAAGCCAATACTACAGCTGAGCTTTCAGGCAAGATTAAGCCAACAAAAAGGTTTGGACCTTCGATTCCCCAAACCACTCTAACTACTGGAAACTGCAAAGCACTTTCAGATACACTTTCTAGGACCAAGGAAGAGGTCAGAGCTGAGCGCAAGACTTTAACCCAGTATAATAAAACCAAGCTATGAAAGCAGCAAAGCAGCACGTGAGGCTGAGCCAAACAAATAGTTGTATTTGTAGTAAATAGCCTAAAAAAGGGGCACAGGAATTACATCTGCAAAGTGACTTAGTTCAGCAGCTGGCTGAATTGCAGACTTGAGCATCAGCCAGTGCTCACGACAAGGCATCACCCTACAACAGGGGATTTGGCAGCCTCAAGCAAAGCTTCCTGTTTCAGAGCACTAAACGCGTTGTAACCTATGAACAGCACTGGAAATAAACCCAAAGGCTGAGGAAAACCCTCCTGTAAAGGCAGCAACAGCACTGGATTATCTTGGAGTTCAAAACCAGGCTTTAAATCCAGCTCGAAGCCACCTCTGCGCAGGTACAAGGGTCTCGAAACACACACATCCCCCCTGAGCCTCAGCACATTCCCACCCTATGGATGCTCGTCAGGAGGGGCTGGATTTCATGATGCTGCCAAGAAGCTCGTGGCAGCGGCTCCACCGTCAGCGTGACTCAGCAGACCCACCGCTGCCGGGCTGCTCCCAGCCAGCCAGGGCTGGGCTTCGCTTGGTCTCTTCTCTTCTCTGCTAGTTTTAACTTGAGGGTTTGCTTCAGAGGCCAGAGCTGACCCGGGAGATCCCCATCTCACCCCGCTCTGTTGCTGGGATGCCTTCATTTAAGCACACAGCAGCTTCCTCTCAGCAGAAGGGGGATCAGGGATAAGCACTCTTTAAAGCAGTGACCTACCAGCCCAGCCCTGAGTATTTCCACCCTCCCTGAGGATCTATTTGCTTTCACATCACAAAGGATATTTATTTTCCCACTGATCAT